CCCTGATCAACAGTAGATTCATGTAATGGTGAAAACAGATTTGTCCCAACTGCCTAAATATAGGAACATAACTTAAGTAAGAACCTAAAACAACGCTGGTAGGGTTCCCTTGATGCTGGAATGTTGAAGCTGTCTGCTAATGAGTAGCAATAATTACAGTTTCAAAATACCATAAACAGAATTCTTAGCTATGCTGTACAGCTTCTGATCCATAACTGTGTATTTATTGCTCAATTATGCAGGTCCCTGTGCTCTTCCTAATAATGGCCTTTGGACAATCGGAATGTTGAGATTTGCATGTCCATACAATTGGTTCTTTAACCATGAATTCTTATGCAAATCCCTATGGCTTGATTGCCTCCTATTTTCAACTTATCTGTCATGCACCTATAAACATAATGTTCAACTTTTGACAGCCTTCCCACCTAATTCTAGATATTAAATATTTCTCAGTTAACATAGGAATTCAGCCCCTATAATCCTGATCCTACAGGTCAGGTCTATGCTGGAACACAATACCGTATAACTTTCAATTCTGTATAACTTTCGATACTTCCTGTTGACTCCTTACCATATCCTAGACTAATAAACCTTCTAGCCCAGGATATTGTTGTGGCGGAGTTAACTGGAATCATCCAAAAGTTATTTTTAAAAATAACAAATTACATTTGTTTTTAAAAAGGGAGAGGGGATTGGAGAGGAAAAACAGGGATTTCAACGGGAGCTGCTTAGATAATCTTTGGAAACAAAGCATCTTTGTTTCAGATCTGTGTGTTTTAAAACAATTAGGGTTTTATGACTAAATTTATTTGAGTTTTAATGATGATTCTTGACAGGCTAAGTATGATTTAATAATTTAGAGTCTCTATTTCAGTTACCTTTTATGAATCATTAGTAATCAACCTCTTGTCTATATACCATTGGTACTTAGTGCATTTAAAAAGAAAAGTTACTATCTGACATGAATTAATTATTGTAATGCAAATAGATTAACATATAATTGAGCGAGCAAAGCAGAGCCCTGCACTCCAGAGAATTTGCCTGTTTGTCAAGCAGTAACTTTTCAAAAGAGCATCTGATCAATTGTGGGGAATGTTCCAGATGTTAATGGGCAGAAGCCTATTGATTTTGGTGAAAAATCAAAAAACTGGAAAACCTGATTTTCTCTAAAATCAGATCCATCAAGTGCCCAATTGGTGCTCCCTCAGGAAGCTCTCTGGCGCCCCCTGCTGCTACCTGTAAATGGCTAGCTGTAATGCATGTAGTTTCGCACTTAGTTGCTTATATAGGCTGAGCTGTACACCCAGGTGGACTCGTGGGTGGGGGTGGTTTCCAGCTGCCCAAGATGGGCCTGCATTTGCACATAAATAGTTGTCCAACACACCGAGGCTGGCCTACATTAGCAATGATGTGCACGACCCTAGTTTGACTCGTATTTTATCTGGAAATGAACATAGAATCCTAGAACTGGAAGGGACCACGAGAGGACCTCTAGTCCAGTCCCCTGCACTCATGGCAGGACTAATTATTATCTAGACCGTTCTAGATGTCTAGAATATGTGGCATCCCCTTAATTTATTCCATGGTGGATGCTAGATGGTGAACACTTTTTTGACTCTTCTAAATTTGTACTCCATGTGTTTTCATTCTTGTATTTTGTTTCACCTTGCGCATGCCTCAGCATGTTTTGTAGTTAGTATTGTTGGGAGTATAGAATTACCTTTATTTTTTTTTTTCTTCCCTTTTCCACTTTTCTGGGGAGCTTATTTGGCTTGGCTGGGCATGCCTCGTTCCCAGATTTTTAAACACTGTCAAGAGGCTATCCCAACCAGCAATGTCCACTCTCTGTATCTGTTACATTTTTGGGAGAGATGGGACTCTCCCAAGTAACTTTTGCCTGGCTCTGAAATGTAGAGTTTGGAAGAATCAGGAGACCAACTGAAGCTGCTGATGATGGAGCACTCCCTTTGGCCTGCTTCTGAGTCAGGTGAGGAGACCCTCTGTACATTTTGTCTCTGGAGAGATTCATTGCCCCTTCAACTTTGGCTAACATATTGCATAAAAAGGAGAAGATTTTGGAGGACTCAGGGAAGGCTCTGAAGAGGAGTGTGGTCTCCCGCCACTAGGAGCCAGCTCCCAAGGAAGTCCCAAGCTTCTTTTAGGTGTATAGTGTTGAGGCCTAGACCTCTTCACTTGGTGCCATGGAGGCGAAAGACACTTCCTCCAGTACCAGTGGAGCAGGGAGATCCCGCAGCACTTTGGAGAATCATGGTGCCAGCAGGGCCCCAGCACAGTCTGTTTCAGACTTAGCAACAGTGTCTTCATGCTAGGCTCCGTCAGTACCAACAAAATCAAAGCATGCAGCTTCAGAGCCAACTCACTCCAAACCAACAGTACTGCTCAGATCAATTGCTACATCAGTACTGATCCAGTCAGTACAGTAGGAATTCCGTTACTCCAAGGACTTGTCAGTGTTAGACAAGCCAGAGTCCCACTACGTGTGGGTAGTGATAGTCTCAGTACTGAGACCCCAATCTCCAGATTACCAATGCTTCCTGATACCACAGGATTCTTCACCCACCCACCACCACCACTTTGAAGGACATTCAGGAGGATGAGGGAGGCATTCAGTGAATCTCCTCCTTATCAGTGTGGGGTTCCCCTCTGCATCATTACAGGAATCCATACTTTGACAAGGACCCTCGCCCACATCAGGGGTTGTGGGATCAGTCCTTGGTACTATCCTCTCTCCTGTAGGGGCCTCCTCTGTTGCCATACTGGCATCGTTGGGTAGCATATTGGCAGAACTTTGACAGACTTAGTCTCCTGGTGCAGTGGAGCTATATGGTCACAATCTCCTCCACCAACGTCCTAACACCGTTGTTAGGACAGGAGGCTAGGGTGGACAAAGAGGCTATCTCTCAAGCCCCTATTTTGTCTTAGTCTCCAGATGAGGCAGTCATGCCACCACCACTATTGATGGCTGTTTTTTTTTTTTTTTTTTTTTTTTAACTCCGTTCCAGAACCTTGTGAATTGGAAGAGCTGGTAAGTATAGAACCCAGATAGCAAAAGCTGGAAACTGATTCGATGGTTTCGTTGTTCAAAGAAATGCCTCTCCTACCAAGATAATCATGACTTGGTCTCTTATCTTGAGATCACCCCCGGGCAGATAGAAAGGCATACATCTCCACTACCAGAGGAAGGCATCTTGTAGCGACCCTAGGTTCAGGGCTCCTCTGGAGCAAACATTCTGACATTTTTATGTTGTACTTGTGGCAAACAAGTTTATTGTGGGGAATGCCCACCAATGGAATATCATTTCTGTGCTGGAACTGGGCAAGGACCATTCATGGTTGGCCACTGATTGTCTGTTCAGGAAGCCTGTTACAGTTGTTTATGGCTCTGGGGAGCTTGAGGACCATTGGGCACTTGGGTACCAATTTCAGAAGTAGACGGCTTCCAGATACATGGGTTAGAAATAGGTGCCCCTTTTCTTCTTCACGTACTGCATGGCTGTCGTGTGGTCTTGACTATCTGTACTATGGAATTTTGGAAGACAAGTAGAAACGTTACATAGACCAGCCTGATGATTCTGAGCTCTAAGCCATTCATCTGGTCAGCCCCTTTCTTTTGGTCAGAAGATAGATGACACTAAGTAGTTGCCTTGGATGGCTATAGAAGCTGTCTCATGGGAAGTGCTATACAAACCAGTGTGTGTGATCACTTCTGCTGCTCTAACTACCGGTAGTTAATCTAAATCTGATGAAAAGTGTCTTAACATGTGCCACTCTGGAAAAATTGGGTCTCTTCTTTCTGTGGATCCTAGTCTAGCAAGTGATATAATAACTTTCAGCTTCTGGTATATCAAATTTCAAGCATTCTAGAAATGATGTGAACAGCTACATTTCTTTGGTGGCTGATTTTATTGAGCTTTGTACTTTAGCCTTGTTCTCTATTCTAAGTGCTGAAATAGTATTGTTCAGTGTTCTCATTAAAAAATTCTATTTATGGACCTTCTTAACTCTTTATGGTGGGGGGGGGACTTTGCTTTTGGGTCAAGGCTTTGCATGCCATCTTTATTAAAATTTCTAAAAGGTGGTTTTGTGTTTATACTGCTCTTTGCTTTAACCTGAGACGTTAAATATTTATTCCTTGATGTAATCTAATTGATATCATGTGTATTGAGTGGTTGAATGTTTCTATAGAAACTTGTAGACAGGTTCTTGCCTCGTAGGCATTTGAAATCTAAGGGTCTTTTATAATTTTATCAGGAAACTAAAGGCAAAGATTTTGTCAAGAGCTTTAATTAAAATGTTATGTAATATGAATCCTAGTGTAACAAAATAAATATTGGGACACAGCATGGTTTCCTCCGTTTGGAATAGCTAGGTCTGAAGAACCTTGTTTGTTCAGTAATATGATGTGTACTACTTACTCTTGGGGCTTTATTGCACTTGTCCCTACATCACTTCTAATCTCTCTTGCTTGGCTTGCAAGACAAGGAAGAGAAACTGAATCCAGATGTTTTGCAGTACACACCACTACCACAAGGCTGCTTAATTTAATACAGTTTTCAGTAGACATGAGAGATTTTATTTCTAATTCTGAAACTATTGCTAGTAGTTAGCCTTAACTTCATCCAGGGATATTTTACCCTCTATAGCAACTATTGTCTTTAAAAGCAGAACTGGAGATGCATCTCTACCCCGATATAACGCTGTCCTCGGGAGCCAAAATATCTTACCGCGTTATAGGTGAAACCGTGTTATATCGAACTTGCTTTGATCTGCCGAAGTGTGTAGCCCCGCCCCCCAGAGCACTGCTTTACTGCATTATATTCAAATTCATGTTATATCGGGGTAGAGGTATACTGAAAATTTAGTGGTACCAAACATTGTGTGTATGATTCTTCCCTTTGAAAGAGTACATAATTCTATAAATGTGATAGTGTCCTATACACCCAGTGAAACCTGAATGTAATTTTATTGTATTGTTGCAGATGAACCCACACGGTCCCTGAGTGGTCTCATCTTGAAGAATAACGTGAAAGCGCATTTTCACAACTTTCCAAATGGAGTAACAGACTTCATCAAGAGTGAATGTCTAAACAACATTGGTGACTCCTCCCCATTAATTAGAGCAACTGTAGGTGAGTTTCCAGATACAAATTTTCTGTTATTGTTCGTAGTTCTTCCAGCTTTCTTGTTACATTTCTTACCTCTGATGTATAAATAGGGAGAATCTGAGTTACTTCTACATCTGTAACGTACTGACATTATCTGCATGATCAGTTAGAGCTAAATTAAAGTGGTGTAAAAAGTATACTGTCAAAACTAATGTGTTTTGAACACCACATACAGATGAGACTGAAATGCAGCTTAATATTGCATCTGCGTAAAGTTTTCTTTATCGGGCTCATGAGATGTACACTTCTGACTTGTTCCCTTCTTATTTAAAGCTGAATTGAGAATTCAAGCTCATAATTTTTGACATAAGTGTCATTGTTTAAGGCCAGAAGGGACCACTCAGTAGGTCTATTAGTATGACTTTCTGCATGTCACGGTCCCATTAAATTTTCACACAGCTACCCTTGTATTAAGCCCAAAGGCTTCAGTTAGGCTAGAGCATTTCAGTCCTCAAAAGACTAAACCACATGCCACAGGCATAAAACAGGAGAGAGCAAGGTGCCACCAATGCTCAAGGTCCCTGCAGTGGGCTTGGTTTAATTTTGACTAGGTGGGAGATGCCCAGATGATTCCAGCAGGTGCCCCAGGCTACAGAGAGAGATGGAAAAATACTACTCTAAAATACATCTAGCCAGCTGCACACTGAGGAAAAAAATTCCTTTCTGATTCCCTGCTGGTGATTGGATAGAGAGCCTTGAAACATGAGGTTGCTGGTTCTACTGGTTACTAATTTCATAACTGTCCCTAAGCTTTGCATCTAAAATTGGAATGAGGTGAATGACTGTTTCAAAATCATATTTAACTTTCTGTTGACTACAGCAGTGAAACAACTTCTTATATCAGCTGACACTTTGTAGCAGCGTCTGTACATTTTTTTTTTTTTTTTAATTTTCTAGTGAATTGTACTGTGGTAGAGACAATAGGGACAAATCAAGAGTAGGGCACCATTGTACTGTGGTGTACAAATGCACAGAAAGTGACCATTCCTGTTCTGAAACACTTACAATGAGAGAGACAACAAATGAAACAAACAAAAAAACCCAAAACTTTAAGTGCTAGCCTTTTTTGTTGAACTTTTGTCTAACTTATTAATGTTTTAAATACTTGTGTTATTTCTGTTATATTTCAAACAGTAGAAAAGTCACTGTTTGACCAAATTTAGTCTCAATCTCCTGTCAGAGAGAGAGTTTCTGAAAATGGAATATTGCTATTTGTGTCCTAGCTGGTGGGCTTTTTTTTGGAGGGTGAGGGGGGAGTTTGTATCTATAATCTTGACTGATTACTTACTAACTGAGGAGTTAGGTTTATTAGAGAGAAATTTGCTGTCTCTGATCCCTCAAGTCCATTTCTGTATGGATTCCCCACTCTTCTCCTCCCCCCCCCTCCCCCCCCGCTGTTTGGGGAGGGGAGGGGGATGCCTGTCTCTTGCGAACACTCCTTTCTACCTCCCTCCGTTTCTTTTTTTTTTTTTTTTAACCATTTCCTTTGTTTCCCCCCCCCTCCCCCCCCCTCCCCCCCCCCCCCCCCATTTCTGTTCTCCTGCTAACAAGGTAGAGGCAAGTTTCTGCATGTCTTCTGCTCTCAGGGCTTAGAAATGCCTAAGATCCTCTCTGCTGGCTCTCATGTACCTCAAAGGAGTAATCAGTGGAGCTGGTTAAGGAGTGCATTTCAGCTCCTGTGTGGCCTGCTGTTTGTAGCTCACACTGGAAAAGAGAACCCAGTTGCTCCTTTGAAGTGGATTTGCTTGTCTCCTGATGGAACTGTAGTAATAGGGGTGAGACAAGGCACTATTTGTAGCACCCTGTCACTTATGTTGCTGCAGCATTAAACACCTTCTGTTGGGGGATCATGAGCACCTGGGTGGTAATCACTGGGTTATTGATGTAATTGGGAGGATAGAAATGGAAGGAACAGGAAGCAAGGGGAAGCTCAGAAGGAAAGCTAGGAGGGTGAGCCTAGACTGAGGAGCGAAGGCTGTGGGGAAGCCTTCCTTTTCTGTAAGCTTGCATTAAACCGTGATAATTTTGTAAATACACACCTTGGTGAAAGGGTAGCAACCTGGTGTCTGTTTGTGACCATGAGACTACATGAGCTGGCCAGGCAGTGAAGTACACTGGGTGGGCGATTGAGGAACGCTGTGACAAGGGGTTTGGAGTGCTCCTGGATTTATAATGTAGCTATTTTTGTGCCTTGAAGGATTCTTGCAAAGATTCTTGGGCACATAACTCTGAAGATGAATACCAGCTACCTAGTTCTTTGTCTAGGCTAGAATGACACTTGAGTGCTGAAGCACCTACTTCAGGGCTGCTGTCCATCACAACCTCAACTGCAGGGTCCCCACAGATTCCTGCCAGTCACGGCCTGGCTCTTGGTGGGGACATTTGACACTAGCCAAACCTAAGAAGCCCATTGCTAAGCCATGTCAGTCTGCTAGGCTGCCACGTTGGCACTGAGCAACCAGGCACCAATAATTGCCCAGGCTCCTATTGAACTTACTTATGGAGTTAGCCTCTGCTCCTCTAGCATCAGCAATAGTTCCCTTCCTTCAAAAAGAGAGGAGAAGACAGAACATTGCACCATGAAGGTGGTACCAAAGAAAGAGATGATGCTGCTGCTCCTCATTGGCTAATCTGGTGCTGAGCTCTTCAGTGCTAAGCAGGCTGGAACAATGCCGTCTCCAACTTCTGGAATTGGAGCTATTGGAGCCAAGCCAGTTGATGCTCGTCTCTGAGAGGTGGCTCTATTTGAGAATCCCTATGATCCCTTCTATCTCTGTGCTTGGCACTGGGCCTTCTGCTCAGATATTGGCTCCTTAGCTTACATGCTGTTGCCTCGTCACCCAGCCTCATCTATGAGATTACATTGGTCTGAGACTGGCCCAGAAATTCCCTTAGTGCTGTCTGGGATGGGATTTGAGGGCCCCATGCCAATGTTGACATTGGGTTTTGATTTGCAATAGCCTACCACGTGTCGGAGGGGCCCTGGAGAAATGTAATTCAGGGTCCTTTTGCATTTGTTAATGTGGTCTCTCATACAAGAGTCTATCCAGGTTCTTATTGACTGACTGACCCCCAAACATCTAAACCGAGAGATGATGGGATGCTTCATCAGCACCAACACTGTTAACACAGCCTACAGCACTGACTTCGGTACCAGGTGACCTGATTTTTCAGCAATACCTTCCCCAACTCTCACATGTCACTACACCAGTGACTGATGTGGGGGCTGATGTCCATTTGGATGATTTCCCTTATTGGGGCCATCACTTGATGCCACCTGTGACTATAAACAGTTTAAGGAGCGTCACATTCCACGTGCTTCCCAATTTGCCAACAGATATTACAGTGGTGGAAACTCCTGATTCCTTCTTTGACATATTAAAAGTCCGGGTAGGTTGGTTTTTGTTTTTAAATCCTTTGCTAGTTATCCACTGACTCTTTCTGCTTCCTTGAAATGGGGTTCTTCAGCCCATCTGTCCTAGGTCTCCAGAAACATCACTGACCCCATAGATACTTAAACACACCCATCTCCCAGAACTACACCCAAAAGGTGTGAAGCTTTTGGTTTACAGTCAGACTCTCTCAGGGGCGTAGGTGAAGTAGTCAACATACAAACTTTTCACAATCTAACAGCTTTTGCTCTTTTTTATACCTAATCACGTGAAGCATAACATAGTATAGATCATACAAAACAATAAACATCTGAAACTGCAATGTCTCACATTCTAGCTAACTTCTTTCTTGTGAGTCATAGCTGTGCCATTAGTGTCCAGGTAGGCAGGATGTCCCCTGTCTCTCTTGCAGGCTGTTACATGGTGAGTAGTCTGTCCCTTATGTACTGGAGAAGGTCTCCAAGCAGACCTGCCTCTGCCCTTTTAAAACCTTCAGCCCCATGTACCAGGTGACACCCTTGTCAGTTTCTCCATACGAGCACAAACCCCTGTCAAAAGCAACAGAGGGTCCTGTGGCACCTTTAAGACTAACAGAAGTATTGGGAGCATAAGCTTTCGTGGGTAAGAACCTCACTTCTTCAGATGCAAGTAATGGAAATTTCCAGAGGCAGGTATAAATCAGTATGGAGATAACGAGGTTAGTTCAGTCAGGGAGGGTGAGGTGCTCTGCTAGCAGTTGAGGTGTTCACTAACCTCGTTATCTCCATACTGATTTATACCTGCCTCTGGAAATTTCCATTACTTGCATCTGAAGAAGTGAGGTTCTTACCCACGAAAGCTTATGCTCCCAATACTTCTGTTAGTCTTAAAGGTGCCACAGGACCCTCTGTTGCTTTTTACAGATTCAGACTAACACGGCTACCCCTCTGATACTAAACCTCTGTCAGGTAACCTTGTTGCCAAGGTCGCTTTCCCACGGCTAAACCAGTTTTTTTTGAGTGGGGACCAATCCTTTGTCTGGACAGATTTCCAGCAACTGAGAAATTAAGTCAGCTATCATCTGTTGTTGTTTTTGCCACCAACCTATGGAATTTTCAACCTAATACTGAGGCAAACCAGCCATAGAGAAGAGAAAAGACTGCACAAAATGGAATTTGCAGTCTGACACAGATGTGTAGGATGCATAATTAATAAATTGTATAAGTATTACCAATTCATCTCAAACCTGAGTTAGCCTGCCAAGTTAGTTTTGAGGCTGATAGGTCACAGGACATCCCCAACTTTCTTCTCCTCGTATAACTGCTTACCTATGAAGCCATTACATTACAGGGTGACTCAGCAGCACATCCCAAATGCAGGCAAGTTGAGCAAGCTAACTGTTCTACACCAGCTTCTGCAACTACTAGTGGGAAATCAAGAACATTTATATTAAAAGGAGTCAATTCACTTTGAGTGCCTTAAACCCCTCCTGCTCCTACAGATGCCTCCAATGTGGGCAGGGGAGGGCATTACCAAGAACTACACGTACATGGAAGTTGTGATATCAGGGAGGCAAAGCTCTACATGTGCCTT